GCTGAATCACTTGGAGGCTTGCTCAACTCTGCTATATTCATTGCTCTCAATGGCCTTACATTGTATAACTTCATGAGTGCCATCTATGAAGGACCAGGCTACTTACCTACACAATGGAAGCCTGTAAGAATTTATTGGGATAGCTAATGATAAAAGAATTCACTGTAAGATATGTGATCAAAGTGTATTCAGCCTCTTTCTTTGTCTCATTCATGGCATTGCCTAGGCCCAACCGGAGGATGTTGTTTATCTCCAATTTTGCAACACATGCCAAGGTTACAAGGCACCTCGAGCACATCACTGTCGCAAATGTAAGTTGGTATAATAACTTCTAATGCACATCACTTCACTGTCACATTTCTAAGGAAATTTTTATTTATAAGCTTCCTTTTCAACCATGCATGAATGACAATTTGTTCACTGTATCCATGTGTTTTCCCACTATAATAAACTGTACTTTGGGTAATTGTATTTTAATGTGTGTTTCTGTTTAGAGCCTTTACTTTTATACTAAATTAAAAAAAGGTTCATATTGGACAGTTTGGTGTACCAATTTATGTGAAATCCCTATTTTTCTACTCCCTAATTTTCTATGTCTGTTTCAGTAAATATTTACCAGGCTGAAAAAATGATTGGATAAAACTTGTAGGCACTACATTTAGTACATTATATTCATTTAATGTGTTGTTTTAGAGGTAGTAGGAACATGGGTTTGGAGTATGTCTGTTTCTAATATGCTCTTCATGTTATGAACCTTGTTTGTAAATGTGATGTATTCCGGCATACAATGTCATTATAATGTGTATTTTGTACCAACTGTAATTAACATGTTGTTGTATGTCCACACAGGTAGGAGAGCATATAGATGTAGGGTAAATTTAAAGTGTTTTATTTGCTCATAATTATGATATTAGGATAGAAATGTATGTTATTTGTTGTTAAGACAACAGTTTAAGCACTCAGTGAAAACAATGTGTCAACATCAGCTATGCAGTTCTGAGGCAGGGAGCTAATACTTCATATTAATTATGGGGATACAACAGTATGTTTAAAAATACAAATCTGTATACACATGGACAGGTCACACATCATTTCTCATGCTACTGCCATCAACCTTGGGTGAAGATAAGACTTCCAGTTGCCCTGCCTTTATGTGTGTAGAAATACAAATGTGATATAGTCGTAGTTGTAGGTAACGTTGTACACTTTTCAAAAGAAGTAATTTTTTATGTTCTTACCCTTAAGACAGCCTTCCGATCAAACCACATGGAGAGAACTTTATTCTGGCACCGTGTTTGGTAAGCAGTACTACCAATACCTCGTGCCATGTGCTTTGCAGCCCCTATTTCTTATTTTGTCTGTTGTCTACCTGTTAATTTTGGTATTGTCACCACCTTACGCAGACACAGGAATTTTTCTTGTGACTTTTAACTCTTTTAAAGTTGCTATGGTAATAGCAGAAAGGAAAGTCATGGACATGTTTTGTAATTTCTGACTCAACTGTTTCACATTTTAAGAAACAGTGTAGACAGTAATGAATCCTTAAAAATTTAGGCAGAGTAATCCTAAAATTAAGATATATTATGATTTTGTCTTGCAGTATGGTGATATGACATGAAAATACAAACAGTTTTCTCTGCATTTACTTCCTCACAGACTTCCCTTCTGTCATCTGATAGAGTCTCCATTTTTCTTTATTAATTATATTTGTATCCAATAAATTAACATCACCAACACAGACCAAAAATGATGTGTTCCATTCCTCTTTCTTTTTGTCAGACCTTCCTAATGGCATGTTCTAAATCATAGTTGAAAAGCAATGGTGATAAAGCATTTCTTTGAATAAAAATGCATCAGACAAGTGTTTACCTTTATGGAAACACATACACACAAAAAAGGACTGGAAAGGATTACAAATGCATTTTGTTATTTTTCAATAGTTGCTACATATTGAATCCCAAGCTGTGCTGTCCTTCTTAAATTATGCTTTGTGTTGACTTAACAGTAAATGACAGTGATGGTTCTGAAGTGTCTTGATTTGTTATTAACTTAAAACGCATGTGTGACAGGTGGACGGTGTGTGCTGAAAATGGATCATCATTGTCCTTGGATAAACAACTGTGTGGGTCATTTTAACCATGCACACTTCACAGCCTTCCTGCTCTGGGCAGTCTGTGGATGCTTACAGTCTAGTGTTGTGCTGTCCTGCTCTCTATACAGAGCACTGAACAGGGTAGGTGTTCCAGGTGGAAATTTAACATAAGTAATGCAATAACCACAAGTTAACATATAAAATGACTCTCACTATCTTACACCATATATGTACAATATATTCAGTTACTGAGTAGAATGACTTAGTGGTTATGTCTCTTAGTCTCAGTAGGTATTTGGTTAGAATCTTTGTTAGAACACTGGCTGTTCTGACTCTGGTTTTACTCCTTCCAGATTAATTCCAGGATAGGACCTTGAAGTAGGCATTGTCACTTCCTCACTTTCTTTAATATATTGGATACTGGACTTTCTTGACAGCTTGGCACAGTAACATACCCTTGACATGCAGCTGTTGCTAAACTTGTGTGATGTGTTGCACTGTTGATATTTTTAATAAATACTGCATTTTAATCATGTTGGACTTTTCATACCCTATAAGCAAATAAAAGTCCTTTTAAAATTTAGTAATGTATGTGAAAAAGTTGCTTTCTCTCGTATCTGTTGAATTGTAAAAGAGCCTTATGATGGCTGTTAACCTGAAATATGTTGCCTTTAGGTAAAATATTTTATTATTTAAATATATATCTTAGTTACTAGTTGATTAAATAAATTATTTCTTGTAAGATGGACTTATATTTTTACATATTTGGTAGATTATCATATGACAGGATGCTAATATATTAATGCAACACTTTCATTGACTCTTCAGAATACCACATGAAATTAAATTGTTGGTTTAACCCATTGAAGCCAAAGCTCGTCTGTATATTTAATAATTCAGTTCCTTCTGAAAAGAAGGCATAACTTGTTTCTGCTACAGAGTTATTGATTATTAAAGTAAGTGATACATACTGTCCACAGATCACGAGAAAAACCCTGCTGAGGGAAGTCATTTCTGGTGCAGTGCGGGGGGAATGTTACTTATCAGCTGGACTAGAGGGCTGCTATTGGTGGAAAGTGTGATACGTCAGAGTTTTACGCTACTACACACAGAATGAAAACATCAACCAGCTAAGAGTAGCGTGTAGTGAGTGCACCTGTACTATGTTCTGTGGGTGTTGCGATAATATTCTAGATTATATCACTGTGCCGCTGTGAGGTAATCTTAAAGCTGTACCCATTAAAACACACGAAAGCCTGTCATCTGTTGTTCATTCAGTGGTTGTGGAACGAATGCTTTTAGGATCGGTCATCACTCACTGCGAAATCTTGCGCATTCGCATAAATCGAATTCCTAGCAGGGATTTTCTCCTGATCTGTGGACTGTAGTTACCACTAGGCATTGGTACTATAAAATGATTTATCCAAAGAATGCATCAGAATTTATGTGTTTATTTCTATAGGTATGGTACCATTGTTGTGGAAATGGAACAGAACCAATGGTGACATTGTCTGTAAATGCCCTAGTATTTTGTGTATTTTGTCTGGGGTTGTCCATTGGTGTTGTCCTTGCTGTAGGCATGCTTCTTTACTTCCAGGTAAGGCACTGTCCTTTGTAAATGCAGTGTTTGGTTGAAAAGCAGTGATGTACAGTACTTATCTTCTGTAATGACTAAAACATTCCAAACTTTTCATGTGAATGCTGTAAAAAATGTAGATGTGTTTGCATCCCATGATGTTCATTTAGTTCTTTGCTTGAGTCAGTGGATGTCAGTACAAGCTGAAAATCAAGGCTGATCATTTTGCTTATTCTCAATACTAGAAGACATTTGAAGTTGGGAAGCTAACAATATGGCAATATTGCTAAAATAATGCATGATTGCATGGCTACTTAGCAGTTATTGGGCTGTTGATATTTTCAAAATTTACGTGTGTGCTGACTAACAATATGCAGATGTAATTTTTTATGGATTCTGTAGTGGGAATATGGCAAAGCATTTGTCTGAGGGTACGAGAGATGCTTGTCAAATTAACAAACATATGTTTAGCAAGTATTCTCACATGTTCATGGTTATTTACAAGAAAAGGTTGAATTTGTGAATCAAACTTCAAATGTCCATAACCTCTTCAATATTGTGAATATTCAGATTTATTACCCCTTATTTTTTACTTTTAATGACCTCCTGAATGTAGATGAAGTATCACCTGTACATCATGGGACACTGTATATGCACACTTGTAGAGTATATCTACTTTCCTTAATATGGACTGAAACATTTTATTAATGGTAATAAAAGTGTGGTTGATTACTTACATTTGTTGAATATAAATATTGTTTTGTATTATGGACAGTAACATACATTGCACTTGATAATAATTGTGTGCATCTTGGAAATTAACATAGCATCACTTTCGCAGCTGCGGGCCATTCTAAGGAACCAGACAGGTATTGAGGACTGGATTGTAGAGAAAGCTCACCATCGTCGTGGTCCTGGTGATCGTAAATTTGTGTATCCATATAACCTAGGCTGGAAGAACAATTTGAAACAGGTCAGTTAATTGCTCATACTGTAAAACCCTTCAACTTGTATTTATTTTTCATTCACACATTTAACACAAACGTTTCATAAACAGATGTATTTTTGCATAAACATGCCATATACCATGTTATGTATAGGGTGATTTTAATTTACATAACAATAAATGTGTTATGTAGGATTTGAGGTTTTCACAGCGGTGAGTCTGAAGATGACTGTCTTCAATAAATGTGTTGTGTTCTACTTCTAATGTCAATCTAAAAGGTGAAGATCCAAATCAGAAGGATTAGATGGATGAGATGTTTAGCACAAATGGGAAAGACAAGTAATGTGTACAAAACTTTGATCAGAAAATCTGAAGGAGAGGAGACCACTTGGAAGACTGGGTATAAGTAGGATTATAATATTTAAATGGAATTTAAGGAAAGAAGTTGGCAGGGTGTGAACTAGAATCATATGGCTCAGGATAGCTGTTGTGAGTATTGTAATGAACCTTTGAGTTCCATGAAGGACTTAATCAACCATTTTGTTCCTGGGATACCACAGTATAGCAAGTACATTTTTGTTTGTGGGTGTGTGAATGAACATAGAACTAACTTTGATGGTTAAATTCTTGATTGGCTTCCTAATAGCAATGCATGATCCCATTTGTGCAATCAGTGTCTTTAAGGTTACTACAGTAGAGTAAGTTTTGATAATTTGCAGTTGTGTGTTACTCTTATTATTACCATGTTATTGTTGTGTGTAGTCATAGTGTGCTATTTCCTGTTATTGTAGGTTCTGAATGTGACATGTGAACCAGTTGGAGATGGATTCACATGGCCTGTTGTTGATGGTTGTGACCAATACACATTAACAGTGAGTAAATTACAGTACTTTAAAAGGAACTCAACTGAACTTAAATTTACTCCCTATCTCCAGACAAAGTAAAAAGTGAAAGTCCCGGAATAAAAAGGCATTACCACACCATCCATCCGTGAGATTTCTACATACTATTCTTTTACGTCTCACGGATGGATGGTGTGGTAATGCCTTTTTATTCCGGGACTTTCACTTTTTACTTTGTCTGGAGATAGGGAGTAAATTTAAGTTCAGTTGAGTTCCTTTTAAAGTACTGTAAACCTAGATTATTTTGAAGTGACTGTATTTAGATAAATACAGTATTATTAAATTAATTGTAGCCCAACCAATAAGTACATTGACTTAGTGCAATTTCATATTTACAAAACAAGATATCCTATAAAGCAGAGCCTTGCAATGTTTCAGATGAGGGCCAAGGTCAGAAGAACAATAAATTGTATAAGTTGCATGCAAAACTTCTCAATTTATTGTTTATATCTTGTTGTCTTTTTTTGTGATAACTAAGGACTGTCATATACATTAGTTGTGTCCAAAGAAAATATACCGATAGAAATAGATTTTCATCAGCTTTGATTAGCATACACATTATAACTGTTATAAAGAGTTTTCACATTCTGATAATTAACATCATGTACATTTGCTTCCATCTCGTAAGACCTTATGTACAATGATAGGAGAACTCTGATTTCTTCTGGACAGAACTACATTACTTTGTTGAAGGTCTGAAGAGGAAATATTTTTAATTTATCTGCAAATCCAACTTTGCTAGGGCTAGTCATAAAGGTGCATGTTTTTATTGAAAACTTCCTGTTTGACTCAGTGTTCCTGGTTTTGTGATAATGTGAAGTGTTTATGTGTTACTTTTTTTTTTTTTTTGTATTTTTATTTGTACAATAAAGCAAGAACAACAAGAACAGAAATGTGAGAAACGTCAGCGAACTCGTACATACACTGTTGTGGAGAATTACTCGGGGTCTTGGGCACCTGTAACAAAAGGCTGGAGGGTGCTTTGTCATCCTCCATTGACAGATGAGCCACGCATCCCATTGCAGAAGGAGAACACTATTCTAGTCACACGCTGGAGAAGGTCAGTGTTATGATTGCTCTTCATATTTGTTTTGGTGAAACAATTAATTTAATTCCCTTGAGTTTTTGTATATTTTTTGATTAAATTCTTTTAATTCTGTTTTATGCCTAATTGCGATTTATTAAGTATTCTTTACTGGAATAAAAGAGAACTTATACTGAGGACAGGCATTTGATGTGGGAACATTGTTTAAATATTTTATGCTGGAAGTTGTAGAAAACATTTGGTTACTTCTTTTGACATTTATATCTTGTTTCTTCCTACAAAGTACTAATACTTTGCTGATGCTATGTTTAGCATAACAATATAATACAAGATTTCTGTCTTCTGGGTTATTGCGCTGTGTAGCCTGGTCGATGTTAACCAACGTTTCAGAGGTCATACTGCCTCCGTCATCAGGGTGATGATGACGGAGGCAGTATGACCTCTGTAACTTTGGGTAACATCGACCAGACTACACAGCGCAACAACCCAGAAGACAGAAATCTTCATACTCACCGCTGTGAAAACCTCAAATCTTAAATATAATACAATAATGAGCATCACTTTTTCTAATTGTTTGTGAGAAAGAAAGTATAATAAATCGAACAAAATCAATTAATCCTTCTATGTAGTGTTTCAGAAAAATATAAAACTTTTGGAGAAAAGTACTTACTTTTTAATGTGTGATGTACTGCTCTTGAATATCTGATGTGGTTTTGGAATAAAGACACCTGCTGTGGAAACTGAGTACATATTATATTTCCATACAATCTTTCATAATTCCATATTCCTCATAACATAATTAATTTTTGGAAAGCTGAAGGGAAGTTAAATTTGGTAAGCAAACCACAAATTCTTGGAAAATGGCTCTCTTCTGGGTTGTAGCACCATGTAGCCTGGTAAAAGTTTATCATTGTTCCAGAGGTCCTTGCTGACTCCATCATCATTGCCATGATAATGAAGGCATCAAGGACCTCTGAAACATTGTTGAAGTCCTACAAGACTACACAGTGCTACAATGTTGCAGACAGCCATATTTGTACTCACCATCATGAGAACCTCAAATCCTATTTATAAATTCTTTATGTTTATGAGTAAGTGGTGAATTTATGAATAGACGTCATTCTTATGTTGCAGATACTGGCTGTTTGGAGAAAAAATTCAACATGATGGTGTTAAAAAACGGGAACGAGGCTGGTTCCCTCGTCCCTGCGTTGTTGAGTTGGTTGAGGGAGTGCCATACAGTGAACAAGACAAGGATAAGTGACTAAATGTTGGAAATTAAGGTGCTGAAGGCAGATGTGAGCACACAGAACATGATTGAATGTACATCTGGGATGGTTTGTGACCATCATATTTTCATTTAATGTTCTTTGTAGTAAACTGCACATACTTCCAAAATACATATCCATGTTTTCAGTGAAGATTTAAATTGGTAAATTATACATCTGTTTCAAGTCAGAATGTTTTTAACATGTTCCTTAGATACTTTATATTTTTGAGGTTATTATTGAGGTACACATACTTTCAAAATGAGTTTTTATGTTTCGAGTGGTATATCTTTTCATAATTAAATACTGTACAGCTACATGGATTGAAATTGAGAAATTGTTTTGCAATATTTTTGATATGCTAAGAGATTAATTTTATGTAATACCTGAAAGTTTTTACAGGTTAACGCTTGAGGCGCACATACTTTCAAAATATGTTTAAAATGATACTTCTGGTTGGAATATATTCAGTGGCATAGGAAACCATTTATTTTTCTGATCTGTTATTGAAATCTGCTAGTTACATATTTTTAATTTTTACTAGCTAGCTGTGAATTTTGTATTTGTGTCATTTTGCTTGTAATGATCATAATCAGTATGTGTAGCTGACAACATGGTCTTAAGAGTAGTATTGTATTTTGGCAGTAATACAACTGTGAATGTGTGGTATTCTAGATTGTAGCAAAATTTGCTTTTTCTTGTTTTACAGACTAGAGCTTGTCCTTTGATCATGTTGAAATTTTTCTTGTAAAAATAAAATATAGTCATTGTTCACTCAGTATCTGTAATGATATTTCTTGATACAGGAGTGACTATAAATTGTGATCTGTTGTCTGTAAGGTATAATAAAAGGTTTGTTATGAGTGGGAAAAATTAGAAAAGGTATTTGTTATGATGGTATATGTACAGTGTCTGGTGAATGTGAGGGTTGGGTGAGACATTTCTGGAAGCGGGTGTCACGTAACATGTTTGGGATTCCCGGATTTACATGGGATTTTTTTTTCATGAGTGTGCTATTATGGAGGTTTACACAGCATGGCTCAGTGCTACATTGTGTGTGATGTGATATCTGTTAAGTCCATAACATTTGCAATGATGTCAGTGTCAGGTTCCTTTGTAATTAAAATATTCTCATACTGAACCCATATTCTTGTGTTGTGCTTTCTACACCATCTGATTGTGACTTATGACCTACTCTGTGCTGACTCTGTATTATGTTTATTTTATGTTTTACTAACCAAGTTACCCTCATACATACTTTTTATTTTAGATTTGCTGTTACCCATGCAAATGTGCAGATTCATGGGTTCTGTGGAAATACTTAGGGTATTCTTACTAATTGGAGCCATACTGTTTTTGTTCTTATCATGGAATAGTAGTTAAAATATGGTTTTGTTTTTGTTTTGTTCTTTAATATGTTTATTTATTTTGCTCATATTTTCTACAAATGTAATAATGTGAAACAGGCAGGTATAAATTTTGGTTTAATTAAATGAATTGATTTCCCTGATGCCACTGATGACCTCTTGAGGTTGAAACGCGTATGGCAATAGTGTCATTTTTATAGTGTTAATAGTTGTTTGCTTATTTATATACATTTTGGTTGTTTTCCATATTCCAACTAATGGTTTTAAGATGGGTTTAAATGAATATATTTACAGTATACTGTGTGACTGATTTATCTACTTCCTTTCACCTGTGTGCAAGGGGTTTGACTTTTATTTCTCCCCCGATGTGGGTTTAGGAAACATTTCTTGTGAACATATCTTTTAGGCATCCTGTGTCTGTTACAGATCTCATGATTTGTCTTCATGTTAGTGGAACTCTAAGTTAAAAATAAGTTTCTTTGTCTCCCACAGTGTATAAGATTACATTCATGTCAGGACACTTTTATATGCATCCTGTGGTCATAAGTATTCTAAAGTTCTTCCTCTTTCCTTTTTGCATTATGGTATTTATAATAAGTTTCTTGTAAGATTGTTATGGTTCCTGTGTAGTCAACAGTTAGCTTATGTTTTATATAACAGGTAAGCAAAAATAAATATTTTTGTTTACTTAATCTTTTCTGTCTGACTTACATTGTAGAAGACAAATACTCATGCGTGTATTCTTGAGTACTGGAAAGTGTTTAATAGTCTGTGAATTTAATGATTGGTTAATGAAGATTTCCGGAAGTAGGCGTCTGGAACATGGTGTGGTTGTGCAGTAGGTAGTGACAATGTGATATGTGTTTATGGTATTATTTCTTCTCTTGTCTACGGTGAAATGTTTTCGTTTTAGTACTCAGATGACACTATCACATCGTGTTCAGGTAGTTTTAAAATGGTGGTCGAGTCTTTCGTTTGAAGTTAAATGAATACCTGATAAAAAAGTTTGCAGCTGATTGATCTTCCAGAATGGGGAATGTTTCTCCAGAAGATGATTTCCCAGGAAGACTGCTGCATCAGGTAAGTTTATTGTGGGGCATTATATGAATATATTTAACACATAGCTGGAAGGTGAGTTCTCCTTGGCGAATGAAAAATTATTGCAATGTGTGTTACAGTCAGTGTAGTAATTCGAGTTTTACAAACCGTTTTAATTATTTAAGGAATAAGTATGTGCCTTGAATAGATCATTTTTCAGTACTGGTGCTACATATACTAATGTGACATGCTTAAGTCTAGAATATCATTACTATTACCTAGGTGCCGAGGCCTTATGTTACGCCACGATAGGTTAGGGTTTCGCACTTAGTAAAGATAACGGTGTTAGAGCAACAAACTTTGCTACGTCAAAAGATTTAATTGTGAAAAGTACACAATTTCCACACCGTGATATTCATAAATGCATTTGGACTTCTCTAGATCGTAGCATGCAGAATCCAATATATCATGTTTTAGTAGATAATAGAAGACAGACAAATATAATTGATGTGAGGCTCTTCAGAGGAGCAGATTGTGACACTGACTGTTATCTGGTAGTAGCAAGAGTGAAGGAGCGGCTTTCAGTAAGTAGACGAACTAAGCAAAATTTCGACACAGAAAAATTTGATTTTAAAGAATTAAGTGAGGGAGAGGTAAAGGAACAATGTCAAGTTGAAATCTCGAATAGGTTTCAAATTTTAGAGACAGATAAAGATAATGAAAGTGTGGACATCAGCGGGGAGTGGGAAAATGTCAGAAACTGTATCAAAATTTCAGCCAAAGAGAAAGTAGGATACTACAGGAGAAAGCAAAATAAACCTTTTAAATGTTAATGTCATCTTGAGAAGACAACTTCAAAATATTTTGTTTTCCTTCACTAATAGGCTGCATTATGGGATAATGCTGAATTGCTGGAAGATTTGCTGCATGGGGAACAAATAGCACACATTAACAGTCAGGATTCTTGGGGACGGACTCCACTGCATGCAGCAGCCACAACAGACAACTCTCATTGTTTAGGAGTCTTACTTCAAGCTGGTGGTATGTTATCAGTTTCAGAAGTATTTGGATTAAGTGAAGAATGAACAAGAGCTTATGGGGACATTGATGAGATATCTTCTGTATCAGATTTCTTTCAAATATTATTTATATCATATTAAAATACAGTTTTTTCAGTTTTTCTCTTTAATATTATATATATATATGTTCTTTTCTGTGGTACGTATTTATAAAAATTGTTTTGCCTTATTTTTAGCTGACCCAAACATTGCTTGTGGTCCCAGAGGAGATAATAGAGTAAGTAGTTTGTTGAGTTTGATGTGTGTACTTTTTCATAGTAGTACAAATGAAACTTACATAGAATTAGGAATATTTATTTATTTATGTATGGTTTGGTGAATGACACTTTTAATACCTCAGATAAAATGTGTGGTTGAATGATGGGATGATTAGTGAGTAATAAAGGAAGGAAGCAGTTACATACTGATTTAAGGTACTGCCCTGGCATTTCCCTAGAGGGACTGAAGAACACTATGAAAAACTTCAGTATGAATGGTTAGTCTTTTTTCAACATGTGTTGTCCTAAATATGAAGCGTGAATGCTAACCACTCATCTGGAGCATGTCGTATGAGTCATGTTTTCCTTCTAGACACCTCTTCATGTGAGCTCAGAGCATGGTTATGTAAGCAATGTGAAATTGCTTCTTGCTCATGGGGCAGATCTTGTGGCTCGTGACAACAGTGGCCTCACACCACTTGATATAGCAGAGAAGTGTGAGCATATGCAGTGTATGCTGATCCTCAAACAAACAGCTGGTGAGTACTGAATGGACTGATACACTGGTTCAGGTCTTGGTTGAGGAGCAGGATAGATGTTTCCTTTCTATGCTTTAAATAGGGAATTGAAGTTGTGATTACATGATGAAGGCGCAGGTGTATTTAGTACTGAAGAATGTAGTTTTCTGGGTTGTGATACCTTGTGGTTTGTAGGTTGTTACTAATGTTTCAGACGAATATTGATAACCTCCTACAAGACTATGCAGCATCACAATCCAGAAGATGATAATGCATATTTTCACCACCATGAAAACATAAAATCTCAAATGATGTAATGAAGTTTGTAAAACTTTTGCAGTTGCATTCTTCAAATGTAACTGAATTTTACTTGAGGCTGAACTTTCTTTCATTATGATATCTTATCCTCAGATGTCTCATTATTTGTAGGTACCTTTTCTTTTTATTTCATTGTTAGTCATTAAACAAAGATTCTTCTACATTTATTACCTATAAATTATATGCTCATTATTCTGTGTGTTTTGGAAAAATCTTGCAGCAGGCAAAACTGTTGCCAGAACTTTCTATTCCCATGAAGATGGCTGTCTTCTGGGTTGTGGTGCCATGTAATCTGGTGAACTTCTACCAGACTACACTGCACTACAACCCAGAAGACAGCCATCTTCTGACTCACCACCATGAAAATCTCAAATTTGACTTAATATTTCTGTGAAGTTGAAAATCAGAATTTTTTTCATGCCTTGTTTTCATTGTAATTGTTCATGTCTGCTCTTGCTTTACCTCTTTTATGTAATATCAAGAATATTCTGGTTGTAGGAATGTGAGTTCTGTGTGATGGTAATGGTACTTGATTGGAATTTATTCCACACTACAAGGCTAGGAATGTGAAATTATATGGAGTTAGATAATGTATGTATGGAGTCTTTCCATGATGAAAACTGCAAACTTTAATATTGTATCAGATACATTTAATATAATTTGCAGAGAGGCATTAATTCTCAACCTTGTACTGTATTATATTAAGCAGCCTCTACATCATATTGAGTAATGAATGTTTCAAATAAAAGCTACATCTCTCAGTGATATCTATATTTTATGTATGTTGCGGGGTTTTTTTTAAATAAATGATTAGCCATATGCTAGGAAATTTATGAAGTTTGATTTGAGATCTTAGTTGGTACTAACAATGGATCAATATAGAACAGAATAAAATTTTCCCAGAAGTGTAGAGTGTAAGTGAATGATACAAAATATAATTAAAAAAAAAGTGTAGAAATGAAACATGCATATAAATAAAAATAATATTTTCATAATGTGTTCATAGACTTCATGCGAAGAATGTGTATGCTGTAAGTGGATTACAAAACTCTTTAACAGCTGAATGACATTGTAACAATGACAAATGTGGCAGCAGGTTTGCTGGTGTCAGTTTTGTTTTCACCACTTTGAAATGTCGCCTGCAGACACAGAAACCTTAGGAAGGCTATATAATACTTCTAATGTGCCAAGATAATAGGGGAGGAGCTTTATTTTTGAAACCCCACTCTAGAAGTGATTGGACTTAGCAGCATAAGATGTAGCAGTGTAACTAATGATGAAGTGAGCAGAAGAAAATTGTATGCATTTAATAAGTGAATGTAACAAAACATATAGAGCAAAATTTCTTTGTGCATGTTTCCTTATGCTGGTGAATATTACATTAGGCCTACTTCTGTTACTACTTCATTTTTACTCTTCTTTTTCTTCTTCTGCTGATGCTGCTGCTACTACTACTACTACTGCTACTACTACTACTACTACTACTACTACTACTACAACTACATCTTCTTCTAATGAATATTTTAATAATTATTAACACTGGTAGCTGAACCTGAAATTTCAGCATCACTAAACTTAAAGCCCACCATTGGTTACATTATACAACATGATGGTTATGAATGGTGAATTGGTAAGGACTTGGAAGGAAAACTATGAAATGTGTAAGAATAACTGATGTGTGGACTGAGATTAAACCTCCAGATGTTCTGAGTGGGAAGCAGAGGTCCTATTTCCTGCACCTGGTTGGCATTATGTCTGTATTATGCTAATCTTAATTTGACTCTTACTCGCATAACCCAATCTGTCTTAACTGATAGATAATCTAGTCGGCTGCGTATTGTTTTTAAACTCAACTATCGATTGACAGTTCTGTCAGTGACATTGACTCATATCGTGTAAAGGCCTTTTATATTTGTGCGTGGCAATTTTCATAACAATTAATCACTATAGTTTTGCAAGAAGGATGCAAATTGAAGATTCAAAGACTGTGCAGTTAATTTGATGTATAAGCTAGAAGCTGCAAAGGACATGAATGGTTAAGTGCACAGTGCAGTGGTGGAGTAGCAATGCAACGTCTTCAGCGCTTGTTCTTTACCACCACAGAAGCTAGAAAGAACACCACTGTTCCTGTCAATGCAGAAGCAGCCTTTGAAGCATGCAGTTACTTCATGAATGATGTCACCCCAGGCAAGTAGACCTTTTACGGCTTCCGCAGTGTATTGTTGGACAGATTAATTTACTATAATTATTTACTTAGTACACATCCAAATTTGAAGCTGTTGTGACAAATCAGACTTACATTCTTGAAGAAATTAAGAACATTGAATTCGGGAATGGCTGATGCAGTACCGTTCAGTTCAGAATCTTTTATTTTATGTGGGTGTGAAGATTGGTTTCTGACCCTGTTAAGTGGAGAACTTAGAATCATATATCATGGTGTTCCAAGGACCATATTTGCTTTGTTCTGTGTCTAGTTTTGGCAGCGGAACAATAGACATTGCAATGCTCAGCATCAGTTTCCCAACATTGTGTTGTGTGGTTTGTGAGCTTCATCATAGCATTATTTGCTGTCCTTTATCAGTGTCAGGGTGCTTAGTGTTGTGTTGCCAGCATCATGTTGTGTGGCATTCTGATGCTTAGCTCCTTTTGATCAAACTTCTTGTGTTGGTGTCACTGATATAGACTTTCTGATGCCCAATATAAACTAGCATTATGTCTTATGATGTAAGGTAGGTTGTAGATTGGATTGTTCTACGTTTGGTTAGGTTCGGTTAGATAGAATTCAGTTTGAACTATATTAGTTTCCTCAGACAGCTCATTGTACAAACAAAATTGTATATTTATGACATAAAATATAGACCTCATTAAGGGCTACAGCATTTATTTGAAACATTTTTAAATATCAAGTATTTAAAGAAATGAAAATGAATAATTATGTATCTGTCAACAATATATGCCACTCTGTGGTAGTAGCTTTTGGTGCTTCTTTCTGCCACAACAGTATGGCACACGGAGCAGCTAAGAAAGAGTAAGGATCATAAATGCATGTGTTATTTTCAAGTTCAACTGTTGCTTTCTAAAAAGTATACTTGTTAGTGTTGTTTTGGGTTTGAGATGTTAATGTGCTGTACTTTATTTTACTGTACCTCAAAGAAAACACAGTATTTATTCATTACAAAGATAAACTGGTTAATGCTGTTTCAGGAAATAATGCATCTTTATTCTGAGAATCATATGAAACCCATAAATACAAAATATAGAGTTCTTAATTTTAAAGGTGGCAGTACATATAGTTACCAGTGATCTTTAAAATGTTAATAATAAGACCCATTTTATTAATTAAGTCTGAAACATTGAGTAATAAAATCAGTTGTTTGTCTAGAGTTGTGTATAGAATTTAGTTGATGGTCTCTTCTGAAATGTACTTTAAAATTTTATTCTACTATCCTATACTATTATTGTAGCATCTGTAATAATTGCTGTTTGCATTCAAGCAAGGGGTTTAGTATTGGGTTTCTTGCTTACCTACATATTTAAATTGTGTTTACAGATGCAAAGGAGACATCACAGCAGAAATTCCATGCAGCCCTACGGGATGCATGTGCTGCAGGCGAAGTGTCTGTCCTCAAGAGTTTATTGCAGCAGCTGGGATCAGAAGCACAACTGGTTGTCAACATGGCTCCTAGCGGCTCTAATACACTCTTGTTCTTGTGAGTGTTTCGTACTTTGTATGAGAAGCAGCATAGTCTTGCAAATCTTGAAACTGATTTTTATTCCACAGTAAACTCATATACTTCACATAATCACACCTGTATGTTATCCGTATTCGCAGAATGGAAACGGCATTGAAAAAAAGACTGTTTACCAGTGTTAGCACTTAACAGTGTTTACTCAGAATAGCATAATTTTACAGCTGTTGTAAGTCTGATTGCAAAGCATTTATTTTGATGGACATCATCGCAGTGTTGGCCTTTGATTTAGTGATCATATATCCTTGTAAGTGCTTCTGTTCGTTCACAGTGTTTATTACTTTTCAGAATTCCTTATACAGATAATGAGAACTTCTTATGTTTTCTACAGGGCATGTGAGATGGGTCGAAAAGAAATTGTAAAAGCTTTGCTGGAACATAATGCAGATGGCAGGATACACCCAGTTACAAAATACTCTCCACTTTATATTGCTTGTTACAATGGCAGGAAGGATATTGTTGAGCTGCTTTTGAAGGTGAGGACAGTTTAATGTAAAAAATCTTATGCCTATTAAGTTGGGTTAATTATGGAGAACTTTTGCAAAAAGTGGCAGCCGTGGTTGAATTTTAAGTTATTAGGTATGTCCCAAAATTCA